GGAGCAGGAAAGCTGACGTTTCGGGTCAAGACCCTTCTTCAGAAAATGACAAGGGAGTGTAGCTGGTTAGTCTTATCTCATTTATGGTAAAGGTAAAGTTGCCATAGTCCCAGAGGACCATAGGCCTACTCGCTCATTAGAGAGAGATGACTGATGACGAGTTTAACCTGACCGTCACCACACTTCAGATAAGGGATCAGTTTGAGAGAGTGCGACTTCCATGATAACCTCAGTTAGTATAGGATTTGCACCCACGCTGTTGGCACAATTAAGGATAAATGGATGAATGCAATATAGACTCAAAACAGCAAGAATTAACCAGGAGCAGTTAGCTTGCATTAGTTAAGGCATCTATTTTTGACTAATTATAATAATTTTGTTTTTAAAGAATTGAAATACTAAGTAATATTAGAAATTGTATCTAGGGATTTTCAGAATGTGTTTCCATGGTTATATATGGGCTTGGAAGGCATATTACTTTGAAGATTGTCGCTAGAGATGGAGTGGTGCTAAAAAGAACGGAAAACAAGGGATACAATAATTGGATACTTACAGATTTGAGGGATGTGGACTGTGGGGCAGTCCAGATCTCTGTGCAGGGACTTCTTTTACTTTCTACCAAATATAAATACTTGTATTTAAACAGTCCCTTTCATCACTACACAATGTCCCAAGGCTGTGCACAATCAATAAAAGAACTTTTGAAATTAAGTCACTGCTTTAATGTAGGAAATGTAGCAGCCAATTTACACACGGCATGCTCCTACAAGCAGTAATGCAAAAATAAATAGGGAATTTTTTCAATGTGTTATTGATGCTTGTAATTATTGTCCAAGACATCATGGATAACTCCCCAGCAGTTCCGAAGTGGATTTAAATGAAAATGGTCATGAATCAGGCTTCAAATAGGGTGACTAATTGAGTATCCCAGTTGACTGGCCCAACTTGTCCATGCTGATATGCTAAACTGATCTAGACCCATTTGGCCCATATCCCTCTAAACCCTTCCTATTGATACACCCATCC